TTTTATCAAACAATGCGCATAAGAAGATAGATTGTTGAACAAGGAAGAGCTATAGGCCTTGGATTAATTAATATGGTCGTTATCTTCACTAAGTGCTGCTTTGGTCTCATTATATATATATATATATATATATAATATCAAGATCTAACTGTTTTGAATTGGTAAAATGATTAAACTTGCAATTTTTGCTCACAGTGCTCTTCCTCTTGGTACCCCTCCTTGTCGTTTTGTGTTATAGAGAGTATGTATTTCAAGCGCAAATTTTGTTTTCTTTTTCTTTAATTGTCAATGTAAAGCAAAATGTACGGTATAAATTAATTGAATATGAATTAATTTTGTTATATTCGTAATTTATTTATTTAATTATTGAACTCTAAAATATTATTTGCAATCATTTTTAAGATTAATAATTAAACGGATATATACAAACAAAAATTAAACCTGTTCACAATTATTTGTCGAACATTCTATTTTTTTAATATTTGAAGTGAAAATGAATTAAATATGAACGAATTTTATTTTGATATGTTTGTTTAATTAATAAATTTGAAAATATTATTAATAATTATTCGTTAAACTTAATAGATAAACAAAAATAAAATTTATTAGCAAAATATTCATAGAACATTTTGTTTGGTTTGGTTACATCTTTGGAGGTTGAATGCCCAACAAGCTGATGCTTGGTCCTAGAACATGTTGTTTGGTGAACTGTCTGACTGACAAAACATGCATTGTGTCAATGATGAGATTCGCAGTTAGTTATTCCAACATTGTACGGTGAAGTACTCTTCTAGGCTTTGGAAACTAAAAGCTCATGCCCAATCTTGTCTCCGGAAGGAAGGTAAAAGCTGGAGTCAGTTGTTGATGAATGATCCTCAACCCCGGCGTTCGAAGTCGAAATGTTCTCCCTTGTGTTTTGAGCTTGTCTCATATCATAAGTATTGCTTATTCTTTGCAGGAATGAAATCTGAATTCTTTTAAAATTATAATTTTATGATATTTCTAAAAATAATTTTACCAACTAATAGCGAATGGATAGTAGTAACTGGGGAAGTAATTTTATTGTCACTTTCAAACTTTATGTCCAAATAAATTTGATGCAAATATATATATAACTGGGGAGGTAATTTTATTGGGATCGAAAGTCAAATAGTCAAGTGTTACTTTATAAATGTAAGGATGAGTTGTTGATTGATTTGATCTTGAAAAATTAAAAATCCAATTAACCATCCCTTTTAAAAAATAATTGAAACAAATTTAATTGTTTTTAGTAACAAAAAACAATCAAACAAATATGTCAATTGATTTAGTAAAAAAAAAAAAAAAACTAAATATTTCTATCATTTTTTTTGTCATCAATACTGCAATGATTTCTATCCAATAAATCTTATTTTATAGTTTTATCATTAATATCATATTTGTTATAAGTAAAAATAATTATATATTTATATTAAATATAATATATATAAAAAATCTAATAAAAATAATAAATTAATTCAATCAATTTAATTATTAATTTCAGATATAAAAACTAATCAAATTATCCAAATAAATTTTTTTAATAAATTATTATTAAAATTGAATGAATCCAATCAATTTGATCAAATTCAATCATTTTTACTGATCAAAACGATTGAAATTGACCTCTACTTACACTCACATAATTGAATTAATGATTTAAAGTATCAACAACACATAGTGCGAATATTTTATAAACTATTTTATCAAGAAAAAAATTAATTTAACTTTTTGAACATATGACATGCATACTTTGTGAAAAAACAAAAAAGCGATATAAATACCTATCCTGAATCAAATATTTTCTTTAAAAAATCAAATATTCAAACATTTTTATTATTAGTTATTTAATAGTAATTTTTTATGAAATTGATAAATATTGATTTTTTAAATTATTTTTGGGAAAACTAAGAAGAAAGGAAATTTATCCAAGTCTGAAAACAAGTACTACCTGCAAAAAAACCTTTCCTCTAAATCCAAAGACGAAAGGGGTTTGTCTGATATATTGTTTGTGTTCAACTCTGAGCTCGGCAGATAGCAACCTCCAACTGAGAGACAGAGAACGAAGATGGGATGGGCAAGCAAAGCAGGGGATTGGGCATTCAAAGGGTTCACAGCGGGTCTAGGGTTGGCCACCATTTACCTGACCGCCACTTTCTCTGTTAACGTTTACAGAGGCCTTGCCTGGCACAACTCTCAATCCGTATTTCTTCTCCTTTTTTTATTTTTGGCTTCAAACCGCTCATATGATCAATTACCACTCTTTTTTACTACTATTTTCGTTTTGGGTTATCATCAGTTTATGCTTGGAATGAATGATTCAGTGGAAATTCTTTTTTTTTCATGCTCATCCTTATTTCAGAATTTGATGCAAAATTCATTGGCTTGTAACATTACATTAGCCCATGATTTACAGTAATAATCATCTTTGCTTGAAGCTTTATGTTGTTAGGATGGTTTGCATTTACTAATATGTTTTCTTCTTGAAATCACTAATTTCACTGTAATAAAATTTCGTACCTTTTTTTTTTTTTTTCATTTTGCAACCACAGTATCTTTCAAGGAGTTGATCCAATATTATAAAGCTTTGTTTTCATGCTTAGGCTACATGACCTTCTTTTGTGATAAGAATTGATATTAATATGTAAAACTATATTCTTGTTGAACTACTTCGCCCCTTTTTGTTGAAAGGTATTTCGAGCTAGTATTTGTTATAATGAATGTGAATCTGGAGTTTAGATCAGCTACTTCATGCAGTCACCTTGATCCATTTCCCTATCCTCATCCTCCGGCCTCTTTTGTACCAAAAAATTTATTGTCAGACCAATGGAAAACAAAAGTGCCAGAAAACATGTTTGTGCTTTCCAATATATGCATATTTCTTAAATGCCCTCATAATTTCTGTTTAGTTGCTGTCAAATCATATCTGCGTGCACCTTCTAATCACCACTGGGAAGGAGATAATGTAGTCTTTGGGTTCTTTGGGAATATAAATAGTACCATGTCTCTACATGGTTCAGAGCATAATAGCATTTTTTTTTAACTGCTACTATATCTGAAATCATCTGTGAAAGATCTATGAGTTTTGCACAGGTCAAAACGATTCTATTGGGGCCAATCCACTTCAACAGCTTATTAAATGATGATTCACTTGAACAATGAGGTCAAATGAAAACCATGAATGTGAGGAATTAAAAATCTTTTGAACTATTAACTATGGTTTTATGAAAACACTTGGAAGCTTTAATTAAACGCATGAAAAAAGAGAGTTCCTTCAAGTTTAGATTTGATGTTTTCGTTTTTAAATTCGTCTAAGCGGGTGTGTATTTACGTGTTCACATGTGTACTCGTGCATTTGCGTGGATTTGTTTCGATTCTTGTTTTGATTTTTATTTCCAGCTTGACTTTCTGGCTTTTTTATTCTACAGAAGGCTGGTTTTAGTCACATTATTTTAAGCAGCTGGAATGCTTTCTTATGAAATGCTTAATTGAGATAAAAAAAAAAAAAAAAGGATGATGAAAATTGAATAAGGAAACAAAAGAAACTTTTGGGTGTATGATAAATCTGATATTTTCTGTCCTCTGGTAGTATGCCTCATAAACCAGAAACACCACATAACCACATACAATGTACACATGTATGTTACCTCCTGAGTTACAGTTCTTACTGAATAGGTTTTAAAAACTATCTGTTTATGAATGAGTGCAAACCAAGGCTGTAACTTCCTTTGCTTTTTTTTTTCTTCAATCTTTGTCTGATATGGAGAATATGGTTATCGATAATCTTTTAGCTGATCAAGATGTTGCTATGATGCTGTGCTAAATTGAGCACTTTTAACTGAGATTTGACTCTTTTCTTTGGCAGAAAATTGAGAAGCAGGGCTTCACCAAGCAATCCACATGACATAGCACCTTGCTTGAGGGGAACTCCAGTCTTCCATTTGTCAAATTTTGTGTCCATTGCCTCCTTGGACTCAGAGTACAAAATTTTACCTTATTTTTAATGTTTCACCGTATAGGTATTGACCTGAGATTCCGGGATGTGAGGCCTCTCTAGGTGTTATTTTTGTTGTCGGTGGAATAACTTTTTGTTTCATTTTGAGAAATACTATACATTATCGCGCCATCTTGAAAAGGTTATGGTATTATCAAGTACGGCAATGAACTGGTAAGTTCAGTAAGCTATTAAATATATCTGACACTAGACATAGACTGCATGGTTGGAAATTTACTTTGAATTTAAAGTGACTTGATTGGAACCTTGCGTTTTCCATTGGGGCATGTCGATCCTCATTATCGGCAAGATTTGATACTCCATTGCTATGTCGGTGAGACTTGGAATTCCTCCATTGCTACTGGGATTTTAAACATTTTCACTACTACTCCCCTATCCCACAATCAACCTTGGTGAAATTTTATTGAAGGTTTGGCATTCTTGATACTCTTATAAACCCTAAATTTTCTTTCTTCCAAGGAAAAAAAAAAGAAACATCTCTTGGCCCCAAAAAACGAAAACATTTTTGTTTTTTTTGTTGTATAACCCAAACATGGTACTCATACTCAACATGGCAAATTATCACCGATCTGGTTAATAGTAGGGGTGTGAACAAGATAATGATATTCGTAATCTATTCAAGCTCAAGTCGTAAAAATAACTAGAATTTGATTGATCAACTAGAATTTGACTTGATCAATGACAAGTTATTGTTTTTCATATTTTAAACTATGATTTTCAGGTTTACCATTATGCACCATGAGTTTAATTCATCCTGAGTCAAACTCATGTAATTCAGCTTCTATCTCGAATCATTCTTGAGTTTAAAAATAAGTAGAAAAAAAATATAATTCAATCGAGCTTAAATCTCGTTTCAAACTTTGACTTTGGAATTTGAGCTCGGGTTTTTTATTGTGTAGGCTTCTGTTCCACCCTAACTACTTTGACTTGATCAAACCCTAATTTGTACAGGGTAAACGTCCAAAAAGAATCCAATTTCTATGTATAAATAATAGTAAACTAATAACTGTGTATCATGTGGGACAAAGCGTTAGGTTAAGAAGCATTTTTCTCGTTTGCATTAACTTAATTAGACCCCACCATCTTAAAACTGCTAGTGTTGCTGTATTATAAGGATGCTCATCATCAAAGTAAAATGATAGTGATTGCCCTTTCAGATGATCTGTAAAGCAAGAAAGAAAAAACAAAGTGTTCCAAAAACATCAGGAAGCTGTACACATTTTCACACTCTATACCAGGCTGGAAAATTGAGGTGGTGTAGCCCACTCTTTCTCCAGTCTTCATATGCCTCTAAAAAAATTTTGTAGGGATAAAAAGGTCTAAACCAAAAATGAAGAAATTATCAGATGATACTACTTTTGGTTTCACCAGAAGAACGACAAGACGGTAGGCTTTATGAGGTGAGTTTAAAATGAACTGTATGAGAACCCCACCAAGCAATTTGCTTTAGGCAACTTCACAATAGGGCACCACCCACATAAAATTGGGCAAAACATTGCATTTCCTTGACCCCCAAGTCCCAATCATGCTGCAAACCTGCAAGTCAGATTGTATGCAAATCAGAAGTAAGCTAAACAAGGAAACAGAACCTTAACCACAAATGTCTAGAACGAAAGTAAAAGCATATTTCATGTCCTATGATTGAAATTAACAGCAAAGGGCTATGATGCCTGAGATGCGTGACAAATGTAAGGACATAAGAATACAGGTTGATCGCTGGATGGCAAAATAAATATGACAAGTTGCTTCTGTAACTGAATGTGTAAATTTCAAGGAAGAGATTAAGTGACTGTTCTACTGAACACAGGGCCAGGACCTAATCCACGCACGGTAACCGCAGCAGGAACCTTGCTGTTTCTATTTACTGCTAGAAGAGGAAAACATTACATTGCCCAACATGATAAAGGAATGTACATACGAGTCTGTCCAGGTGTAATGCATGTCTGCCTTAGGAAATATTGACATTGATTTAAGGAGGTTATGCCAAAACAAAGTATCATGGGATTACAAGGCTAAAAGCAAAATTTAATGTTAAATACCTGCTGCTTCTGGTGCTGTTGTCACTGATGTGTTATCTCAGAGAAAGGCCTTGAATCACTGTGAATTTCTGCCAATGGATTCATAATAAATCCACCACCACCTTGAAGACGTAACCTATGGTTCTCCAACTTAAATGTTTCAGCATTGCAATTTCGATCGGCTCTATAGCGTGTGGCAGCCACTGAAGGGGTGCCGCTGGAAGTAGAAAACCTAGAGGTAATGTATTGGCCATGTGTTTTCCTCCAGAACTTGGAGCTCAAAAAACCTGCAGCAGGTAGTAGGCAACAAGTGGTGCTGCTGGAAGTAGACATGCTTCCAGTTGATACAGCCAAGTCATGTGAGATCTCATCCAAAGCCAGTTCTAGACCATGCACGCGTGTCTCCAGTGAATTCATCCCAGTCTGTGAGCTACAAATGAATCTCTAGACAAGAAAAGAAATAAAAACACATGTTATTGAAAAAGCATCTTCATAGATATATCACTAGTACAATCACATTAATGGATGGCAATTGAGAGGATATTTATTTTTCAAGCATTCAAAACAAACCTGCAGGAGATCTAGCAGGCTAGATTGCTGCTTTTCTATCTGAACCAGTTGGTTGCGGATCAGAGATAAATCCTCACAGTCTTTATGGTTTGCATTGAGATTCTCATAGGCATTACTAACCACAACAGTGGATTCAGGGGTTTCCTCATGACAAGGAGCCACGCGAGATCCAGACTTTGAACCACCAACTTTGTTGTGCTTGTCATCAGAATTCTTATTACGGAAAAGGGATCGCTTTATTTCAGACTTTGTAGACTTCACATTCTCATTATTCTTCCTTTGTAATACATTCTCACTCCTCTCCTTAACACTACCCTCACGTGCCCCTGTCACAGTAGTGGCATGAGGAACAGCAATCTCAACTCTCCAGTCTAGGGGCTTCTTGCCATTAACTTTCTGAATGGTTGCCTTTAAAGGACTTCTCTTCCTAGCTGTGGTTGCAAAGGAACTATCAGGCGGAGTTGACCTTGTAATCAAAGTAGGTTTCTTTCTAGTTTGAGGAGCTGCAACATCCGCATTGGAAGAAATTTTAGAGCCGGGTGGGTAGCGTCCGTCACTTACATCCTCTGTTATCAGAACAGAACCAAATCCAGTATACAAGTAAAAAAAAAATCAGACATATGCTGCCAAAAATGGTCAAATTATTCCACAAAAAAGGGATCATATCAAACTTCGCTTTACAAATATATAATTACCAAATAACCAGTTCACAACAAAGATGTTTTGGGGCAATGTAACATTCCTAATTTAGATGTTCTAGAAGACACAATCAACCTACCAGATTAACTAGAACACAATATTAGGAGCTTTAACGCCCATCAAACAGAAGCAGATCATCACATACCTTTAGAAGAAGCCTGCGATCGAGGTGGCGGAGACGCCTCTTCTGAAACATCAGGAACCTGCTTCCACGCCTCTAACATCTGACTCATAACCTCCCTAGCAGCTTTTACCTATATAATGATCGCATCCAAATATAACACTAAAATTAAAAACAACTGAAAAAAGAAATAATGTAAACCAAAATGTAAATGACCTTACTAGAATTTATATCACGATAAAGCCAAAAACTAGTAATATTTGTTGAAAAGCAAAAAAACCTTATCAAATCTTCTAGCCTCAAAAACTTTCATGCAAACAGTTTTAAACTCAGTCAATGAATCCCTCTCAACCACCGCCAACCTCCCAAGGGCCTCGGCCGCTCCCTTCCTCGCTGCCCAATCTTCACTACTCAGAAACCCAATCAAGCATCCAACCAATTCCTTCATCATGGCTTGACCCAAATTCGACGCCCCACCCGACCCGATCACACTCCCGATCACCACCAAAACCGCCGCCTTCGCCTTGCACCCATCGCAGTTCACGAGTTTCTCCAGCTTCGTCAGCATCCTCGCCAGCCTAACAGGATCCGGGCCCGGCGACCCGTCAACCGCAGCAGCTAAACACAATGCCGCCCCGATCTGCGCGTTCGGTTCTTGTTCCGTGAAAAGCGCGTCGCTCAAAGGCTTCAAAAACGAAGAGAAGTTGCATTTTGTGAGGTTGGCGGAGAGAGCGGAGACGGCGTCTACACAGGCGGAGCGGACGGTGGAGTCGGGGTCCCGGAGGCGGCGGAGGAGGCTAGAGAGGATTTTAGGGAGGAAATGAGGGAGAGAATTTGGATATGCAACGGCTAAAACAGAAATAAGCTTCACGCATTGCTTCCGGATTCCTATTTTATCGGAGGAATCAACGGAAAGAATAGAGGAAAGGAAAGTCGGAAGTAATGTAGCATCGAGGTTTCTAGAAATGGACTCGAGCTCAGCAGCGGCGAGAGAGAACGTGTCTCGGTCACCGAGCTTATTAAGGAGAGTGTTAACTTTGAGTTTAAAGGATTGCGCCATTCTTCGTTTTTACTTCTTTTGCTGCGGCAGTGGAGCAGCAGGCGGTGCGGGTGGAGGTGGCATTGGGCGAGTCTCCAGTGCTGGGAGATGTCCAAGGTTCGTCCAGGCCTTTCTAATTTAAGGTGAAGAAGGAGAGTCGTTAAAAGGCATGCGAAGCGGTGGCCTTTTAAGCAGGTTTTGGCCGCTTTTTTTTTTTTTTTATCTATCTTTTATCTTTGTTTGGTTTTTACTTTACTCATATGGGGGAAGGGCCAAGGGGATCGTCAAGAATAATCCGGCAATAAGCAGATGTGGCCATTCTTGATTGGAATTTAATTTATATTTTTTAAAATAAGAGTAGCAGTAAATAATTATTTAATTATGTTAATTAATTAATTAATTTAAATTCCTTAAAATTTATGGCTTATCAAGGACAAGACTTGAAAATTTAACACACCGGGCCCATATAATCAAATCAAACGAGTTTGGACTTGTAAATTAATGCTTGCGATTGCATGCACCGACTGCTTTAGAAATCAGCCTCGCGCACCATTTCAGTTTTCAAAAAAAAAAAAAAAAAAGGCATAAATTAACATATTGTTTGATAGAGTTTACGAAAAAATAATTTTTTATTTATTTATATTTATTTATTAAATTTACTAAATTATTATAAATAATATTTTAAAAATTATCAGTTAAATAAATAGATAATAAATATAGTAAAAAATATTATATTTGATTTATTTATATTCTTAAATGTAAGTGAACAAAATATTTAATGAACATTTTGCAAATATTTTCATTTTTATTTATTTATTAAATTAAATAAATTAGTATAAATAATATTTTAAAATTTATTAATTTAATAAACTTATTACAAACATAATAAAATTTATTTATATTCATTTTATTTATATTTATTTATTTAATTTAATAAATTTTTATAAATAAAATTTTAATTTAGTGAATATATTATAAAATAATAAATTTTATTAATATTCCTTTACTTACACCTTATTATAAAGTGCACTCGCCACTATCGCCTAACTTTTTATCCAAACAAAATTCCATCAGATTCATTATCGTATCATATAGTAAGAGGAAGGAGATATACTTTTTAATGTTTTTTCTATAGATATTTTGGCTTTGGAAGTGCTAAAATCTTTTTCATCAGTACATTTTCGATATCTACATCAAGTCACTAACTATATTCCATAAGACATTAAGAAAGAAAAGACACTGTTACTAAGAGTTAATTACACTTTTTATATTTGAATTTTGAAAAATATTTAAATTAATATATAAAAATAAAATTTATAATTTATATCTTAAATTTTTAAATAATATATTATTTTAATTTAAATTCTGATATTATTAATTTATTTTTATAATATTTAATTTATATAATTTTATTATGTACATATTATTTATTAAGTAAAAATACAAATTATTTTATAAAAATTTTTATATAAATGTCAAGTGATAAATAATATAATTGATCAATTTTAAACAATTTTAATTATATGGATAAAATTATATAAGTTTTTAAAATATAATAAAAAATATGTTAATAAAATATTTAATGAATACAACTTAATAATATTTATTAAACGTTACAAATATAATTTGACATAATTAATGAAAAAATATGTTAATAAAATATTTAATGAATACAACTTAATAATATTTATTAAATGTTACAAATATAATTTCACATAATTAAGGATTAAAGTTTTGATTAGCATTATGTATATAATTTGAAGGTTTAAAATGTAAATTATATATATATATTTTTAAGTATTAATTAATTAATTTATATATATATATATACAAAAAAAAAAAAAAAGAACAACTTTTTATAGAGGGTCATTTAACGTTTAGCTTATGTTTTAAGTAACAAGGACGCTGATATGGTCTGGTCAAATAACTTTTTTATGTCGGCCAGTGCAAGGCCTGGCCTGAGGTGGCCTTTCTAATGGAGAAAGATTAAGGAAGGGAAAGGAGCAGTGGTCCTAAGTCCTTAAAGATAGCTGTAGGAAGGGGAGATTCGATGAACAGCAGCAGAGGAGCATGTGAAGCAATTATGTAAAGCAGTTATTTTGGGTAAATTGGCCCCAAATTTAAGGGTTCACGTGATGCTACTCTTCTTCTGCTCTGCTGCCTCGGCTTTTATTATCCAACCGAATCGAACGCTGCTCTGTACTGCTGTTGTAATCAACCTGCTTAATTTTTACCCCTCAAAATCATTACCTTTCTTACGTAAATCAACCATTGTGTTTTTCCTCTTTTCTTTCGATAAAATCTAGACAGATCAAGAATTGAGAAAAAAAAAATTTTTTAAATTAATTATATTATTTGATTTAATTTAAATTAATTTTTCCTTGTAAAGTTTGATCAACATTTGGATATTAACTGTTTCAATTTGGTTTAATTTTTGGATCTAAAAATAATATATATATATATCTTAACCAAATAAATTATATATTTTTATTAGTTTTTATATGTATTTTAAATTTTATAAAATAAAAAATAACTATTTTATTTTTAAATTTATTTAAAATGTTAAAAGTTAATTTTTCAAATTTAATGAATCAAATTGAATAAAAAAAATTTTCTATCAAATCCAATCAAGTTTAAAAAAACTTTAGTTTAAATTTAAATAAATTTTTAAAAATTTATAATATTATGTATTAACTGAAATTACTTAATGTTGTAGAATATTTTAATATTTAGGTTAAGATATAAATGTATAGTTTCCCCGTGATCTAGCATGGTTCATCTACGACATGATGTTTCAGTGGGTAGGCCTCAATATTGATTGTTGGCCCCAATCTTTGCTTGCATGTTTACAGGCTTAAGAAAATCCACTTTACCGTATTTGTGTTGATGCTTCAAGTTCAACTAAACCTGCGAAATTTAGCTATCGTGTGTGTTACAATCGTTCAGCTGAAACCTACCCAAAACTTTTGTCTCAACCTCCACACACCTACCAGACCACTTCAAGAAATGGACCTAAATGACATCACTTTCACTTTCGCTCGGCTGTCAGGCCATTTGTTGAAATGTTTCCAAGACCAAGACTTATTTTGGTTTTTTTTTTTTAATTAAAAAGCCAACAGCTTGAAAAAAAGAAAAAGAATGGTAGGAATTAGACTTTAAACTTTATATTTATTTGATATTATTTTTTAAAATTAATTATATGAATAAGTTGGATTAAATTTTGAGCTTTGATTTTAGTTAAACACAATTAATCATGCAAGAAGAGAAGGAAACAAATGGGGGAAGAAACTGAGGCAATAACAATGGGAAAGTAATGCTGGAAGTAGAACATAATTCTAGCAGATTAAAGAAAAAAAAAAACCAATAGCAGCTATCTGCTTAATTCTCTGCAATTTGGTTCTCTAAGGTTGCTTTGGGGTCATCCTTGTCGGTTGGATTGGAATAAAACATACAAAAGCTCAACTATGCTGGGAATACAAAGCCAAAATCAAGTAGTTTGGAATCATTTTTCCCATTTTGAAAAGTAGGGAGAGGCTACTAAGTCTTAAGACTACTAAAGCTAAAAACTCAATGACATCATATATGCCAAGCAGCGTGAAATAGAATCATCGATTGCCATATTTTTCTTGGTCACTCTTGGTTGGTTGGCACGTAATTATTCATAGTTAATATAGTTATGACAACTATGATTAATTTCATCAAAATAATTATATAATTTGTTGATAAAAATATTAAATTTTTTATTTTAATGATCAAAATATTACAATTAACTTTGTAATAATATTAATAAAAGGAGAACAAGATGATTGATTAATTACTTATCAAATGGACCATCTGGTCAAAGTAACGTTCATGTTTTTTACTTTTTTTTTTTAATGACAAAGTAAAAAGCTCAATCCAAAAGCTGTTACCAAACATGGTAGAGTTTTAACATTTCAATTCCAAGCCTTGGGCTCAATTCTGTTGTCCTTCCCATTGAAGGTAGGTCTGCTGCTTGCCAATCTGAACCAAATTCCAAAATCATGCGATTTTCATTGCAATTATTTTTATTAATATGAGGGAGGACTATAAGTTTCTGCCCTCTAAGATTTGTTTTTATGAAAGTTGATTAATCAAATTAAAAGTTTGATTTTACTTTAAAAAACTTAATTTTTTTTTCTCATTTACACATTAGACTATAACTAAATTATATAATTTAAATATAATACAATAATATGACACGATTAAAAATTTTTATAAGCATTATATAAGAGTTAATAAAAATTTTAAAAAATATTTTTCTTATTTGATGTGTCAATTTGAATTTGATATAATAAATTTTTTATTTTACAAATATTTAACACAAAATAAATAAAATATAAATACACAAATTATTTAATCTTAGCATTATTATTAATTATTATGTCTCATGAGGCTTGTTCTGTGTTATATAGCTATTATAAGACAATTACATGATGAAGATGCATATGTTGGTTGAATTAGAGACAAAGGTCCCAATATAGAGACATAATCACATGGATTGAAACAAAGAGAATGTAGAAAAACCTCTTGAAGCTCAAATATATCAATTTCTACTAAAGTTTGTGTTGTCTTCCTCTCACCAAAACCCATGTGCAATTTCTTTGCATCTATTGTGACACACATGGACAAGAAAATTGTGAGTAAATAAAGCAATGCATTGCGCTCAAATAATTGGCTATATCCTTACAAGAAACATCCTTTGGATGATCAGTGCTTGTTGACACATGTTGATCATTTATATCTTTGTTTTTTCTCCTTTGGCATTATTCGATATTTCATTGATGCCAATAATCGTATGATTTGTTGATAAAATACTATATTTTTATTCTAAAGATCAGAATTTAAAACCTAAGAACTTCAAATATAATATATATATATATATATATATTTCATTGATGAATTTATGAAAAAAAGAAGGTGATGGCTTAGGACCGGAGAAAATGAGTTTAGACCTAATGATGTTGAGTGAAATGGAAAAAATAATGACCTCTAATCAATATGTTTAAATTTATAATTCCATATAAATCGTATCATAGTTATAAATAAATAAATAAATAAATAAAACTTAGCACAAGTCTATGATTATGTCCAATTATCCTTACTACTCTGAATTCATCTTTTTTTTTTTTTTCGCATGATTGAGAGGCCATATTGCAATGTGCTTGACCCTACATC